TTCTTAGTGGTTTGCTTTCCACGAAACACAAGCTTGTATTACTTTCATTTACATTGTGCTTGTGTAGTTGCTCTTGTGACTAGTTTAGCTTTAGTAACTTGCTAGTTGCCTTCTTGCTTATATAACATAGAAGTAGCTCCCTTGTGTGGCTAATTTGGTTTTAGTAACCTAGTTAGTCACAATTGCTTGGTTTGTGTAGCTAAGTATTTTGCGCTCTATAATTTGGCTTGTGTAGCCTTGTTATTGAGCTTTGCTAGTGAGCTTAGGAGCTTTGTGCTTTTGCTTACTAGATTGTGTAGGAGCTCTCTCATTTGCCAAAGTACTAGTAGCATAGGTTTGTGTGACCTTGCTATAGAATTGATTAGGTGAGCTCTAGCTAGCCCGACACCTTTGTTGCCTAATTAGGATCTTTATAAGGTGCTTGTGAACTTAGATAGAGGGGTGTAGTCTTAGCTAGACTGATAGTTTTTAATTCTGTATTTGTTTCGATTAGCCGGTGCGTTTAAGTTTAGAAAGGACTATTCGTCCCCCCTCTAGTCCACCATCTCAACCCTACAACTGCTAGTATGTTCAGGAAGTCTCAACTTTTATTCTAGATCCGAGAAGACTATGGTACTTATAACTAGACATTGAAGCATACGGTGACCACGCTGGAGATATTTGGACGGAACAATATTCAATTTGGTTATGATGTTTGCGATGCAGACTATAGAGTGATTGCAGTTCACCTAGAATGGAATTTGATTTTCCTTGTTGGCGAGGATAGAACATTGATCGCATATGACATGAACCGTAGAAAAGTTCTTGTCCTCCCTACCCAGGTCATGCGGTATCCTAGACCTACCTGGAGGCTATGTCCGGAGGGACCTCACTATCTTCCTTATGTTCCCTTGTTCATGGAGTCAGTAGGAGAGCAGTAAAGTTGCATATGCTATTTTTTCTTGTTATGACATGTCTTTCTTAGGTAGAGAGTTGTTTTGATTCTATATATAGTCTAATTTTGGCTTGGTAACTAAAGCAATTATATGTTGAATATTATTAATGCTGTTGCTTTGTGCAGGTTATGGAGTCTGACTGCTTTTGAACGATTGTCCTGCAATGGCTAAGGGAGGAAGAAGAGGGGTTCCATGGTGCATTGGCTACCAAGCTGAAGAAAGCTTTGCCTTGCAAGCAGGAGTGGCAATATGAAGGAGTAGAGCACATCTACCTCGTCTTTGTTATGTAAGTCTGTAGGGAGCAGAGCTTTTATTCTCCTATCTATGTACTGCTTGTGTTAATTCTTGAGTTAACACAATTGTTATGTTAGTGTTGCTTGTTATTATAAAAAGTACTCTTCATTGTGGACATGATGAATGGTGTGTAATGATTATATCTATATGGTGTGTGTTCAATAAGTTATTAAGGCCCAGCTGAATTAGTAAATAAATTGTGAAAACCGGATGCAATTTTGTCACTATCGGATGTAAGGGCCATTGGCTGGTTTGTCATCACCACCATACCACTCGCTGTTGGCAAAGCATACGGCCATCACTGCCGCTATTCGTCTCATGCGGTAGGGGTCAATAGTGTATCACCGTTGAATCGCTTAGTAACCCGACACCGACTAAAGGATCTTCACAGGCGGATTGTACTACAACTACCTATGACCAGATGGTTCATACGCTGAAGCGACGGTGATGTCCACCTTGACAAAGACGTGTTGGCCGCTAAAGCGACGGTAAACACGCACTGCACACAATCGGGTTGTTGTGCAAGGCGACTGTGATGTTTACCTCTACAGACATCTCGGTAGTCGAAGCAACAGCGAACCTGCACTGTAGACAGTCGGATCGAAGTACAAGGCGACGGTGCTAGTGACCACTACACATGCGGTTGATGTGCCCACACGACGGTGATGATAGCCTCCACACAGGCGGATCATTTGCCAGTGCGGCGGTGTTAGTGTATACCCACACAGCCGGGTCATGCTCTAATACGACGGAAGTAAGGACCTTATCATGGACGGATCATAAGCCAACACGGTGGTGTAGTGTACACCATAGTCGGTCTTAGATGCCAACGGTGATGGCTATAACCATCACTGTTGATAGCTTGCTGTCGAGGCCAAAATTAGACTATGATTGGGGTTACGACGTGGCTGTGAAAGGTCTGAATGTAGTAGTGTCTAGTCCTTTGGCCCTTAAGTGTTCAAGGAAATCCTTGTGAGTTTAATTTGGTCAGCAGCTTTGTGTTGTGTGCCTCTGTCATGTGGCATTTGACTTAAAATGCCGCATAGAGTGCATAGCTTTAGCCTTGGAGCAAATCCAACGTTGTTATTATGTTAAACATGTTTTTGTACGTTCTATCACATTTTTAAAATTTGAGTGAAATGATCACCTTTCTTACATGGACTAGGTAGTGCCCAGCCACACCATGAACAGGCTAATCATTATTTTTGCTCTGAATTTTTCTACACCTATTTTGTGGGACTTAATAGATAGTCTGACCTAATTCTGCAATAATGGCTGAGTTGGCGATGTCACAAACGTCACTACACATAGTATTGGTAGTTTATCTAGGTTTACAATTCTGTCTACATATAACTTATGATTTGCATTTGTTGTGTGTGTATCTGGAGGTTTAATTCCCTTAAGTTTAAAATATATTGATGCATTTTTTTACCCAAAGTAGTTACTGATATCACATGGCGTATAGGGTACTCTCATGCAAAGTTGTTTGTTGGTTTAGCCAACAAGAATGAGAGGGCGAAGGAGAGAAGAAGGGAGAGCCAAGGAGAGTAGTAGGGAGAGGGCCAAGTGAGTGATTAACTCTATGTCCCTCTCCACTAGGGGCTACACATGAGCCCTAAATGTTATTTTGCAAGCCCCAAGCTACATAATTGGGCCCTTGAGGGTGGGATGGGGGATTATAAAAACAACTCCAACAATAGAACAATATAGCACAAAATTCCTACCACGGCCACAAAAACAAAAAAAAACTCTGCATTGTTGATATATAAAAGAGCAAGCTACTAACTATGGGCCAAAATAACAACAAAACAACATGGCATAAAATACATGTCGTGGCCTTAACATGATAAGGAAGCAACAAAAACACATCTTCTGTATTGCAAACATATAAAAGAAGCATAGGGGGCAAATTATAAAGAATAATAAAATTTAATAAACAACATAACAAAACCTAAAAAAGAAAATAAAAACCGAAACAACAAAAAAACAATAATCCTTAAAAATAATCCCACAACACAATAACAAAACAAAGTTATAACCCTTAAAGTGCAAACCTAAATCACACATCTTTGAACTGGGATGGCAAACATAGTAACAACACTTGAGAAGGTACCCCACACCACAACAAGATGACAATTGAAGGGCAAAACATAGTCGAAACCCTTGAAGTAAACCTAAAGCACAAAAGGCTTTCAACTGGGTGGTAGACATAGTAACAACACATAAAAATAATCCCACAACTACCCAACTAAATGGAAAACATTATTGAACCCTAAATAAAATAACTTGATCACCCTTAAATAAAAACCTTGATAAATCCTAAACATAGAAAACTAATTAACACTAAATACAAGGGCATTAATCACCCATAAATACAAAATCCTATCATACCAACCTTTCTTTTATATACATACTTAAAATTAGGGAAAATAAAATCTAGAGTACAAAACCCCAAGCCCCTAAAATAAAAAAAACTAAATACAAATGAATAGTAAATTTTAAATACGAACACAATTTATTTTATATGTAATAAGTCGGAGGACAACAAATAAGAAAAAGAAAACCACCATTACCCAAATTGGAAATTAACAAGACTAAAATACAAAACATTTATGCAACCTTAGTTAATTTTTTTTAATTTGGGTCAATTCATTTCAGACTTGCTGACAAATTGTCAGCCACAATTATTACATGTAAAACACTAAATACAATTAACTTTTAAGTTACCACATGGCTTTATTAGGTAATAAAGCCTTTTGAATTTCTGCCACGTTTCTTGAACAGATTAGTAGTCAGCAACATGATATATGCTAGTAGTACCATTTTTGGGAAAAGATCATAACCATTGGGATGGAACACAAGTCCAGAAAAAACATTTGCAAGTTTGTCCTCTAATCACAGTGGAACTCAGGTCACTTCACAAGCTTCCTGATGCTCAAAAACACGCCTCTAGTCTCACCACCTCGTGATGCCGCTTCTGCCCTCCCCTGTCATGTCAGCTGAGCTCCCCACTTGCTAGTGTAAGAAAACAGAACAAATCAACATCTGGATGGGCTTCACGATCTGACGCGCACCAAACAACCAAAGATCCATAGGATGGCTGAAAATTCGTGTGCCCAAAGCCAACAGAGCAACCAGTTGACATTTAGATTTCCCCTTATTGACATGTTGAGCAACCGAACATGGGATGCGAGTGGGAGCAAACACAGAATATACGGCAGCTGAACCTGATTGATTGAGCCTTTTTCCGTCTCAAAGCATACCCTAAACATCCTTCTAATCTTTGTTTTTAGAAAGAATGGGAAAAAAAATCCATCTCCAATAACTCATAATCCATACTCATAATATTTTAGCACTTGGGAAAAACTCCCCCAAAGCACAGCCAATCGTAGGTGGTGGCACCGTCCGCACGACGCAGACCTATTCCACCGCGCGGTGGCCGCGGGCACGGGCACGGGCACGGGGCGGCGGCGCCATATGCTTCCCTTTCAACAGCTATGAGCTGCTGCGGATCCTGCTCGCCGGCACGCTCGTCGCGGCTCCTAGCTCTCGTGTACTCTTGTTCTCATGAAGAAGATGACTGTATCTACGAAAATACCATTTAATGATTGGAACGTGCTTTTGAAATATGATTTTTGAAATGAATTATTAGAAACTCTCGGAGATGGACTTGTATATTCCTCATAATACTTTTTAAAGTTAGAAAAAATCATATTTTTAGGAAGAAATTGTTAGGTACTCTCGGAGATACTCTCAGGAAGGCCGGACACATCACGCCCACATGGCCATGACGGACATGCCGCCGGCGCCGAGGAGCACGGCCAGGAAGGAGACCATCTGGAGCCTGACGCTGCTCTGCAGCTTGGGCCCCATGAAGTCCGCGCCAAGGAGGTCGACGAGCGCCATGTAGTGGAGCAACCCCGCCGACGCCGCGTTGAGAAGCCCAACGACGATCAGCGCCGTCGGGCTGGTGTCACTATACACCTTGGTGAGCGCCAGCCCCAGCGCGATCCCGAACGGCGTCGTCGTGGCGAAGAAGAAGACCAGCCCTGACTTCATCCTGGCGCCGTACTCGGCCTGCAAGATGCAGCCGCCGAGGCCCATGCCCTCGAAGAACTGGTGGAAGCAGAGCGCCGCCACGAGGGGACGGATCGTGCACACGTTCTGCGACGCGCCCATGCCGAGGCCGATCACCACCGAGTGCACCACGATGCCCATCTCCAGGACCTGCGCACCGATCAGGTCGACGCGAAGGTCAACAACGATGAACGGAGCTTCAAAAATGAAAACGTACGATGCAGTACAGAAACCTATATTAGTGTATGCAACTAGATGGATCGATTACCTGAGCAATGACACGGTTCCTGCGCAGCTGCACCTTGCCGGCCTCCACATCCTCCTCCGCCTTGTCCGCGGCCTCCGGCCTCGCCTCACTCATCTCTAGATGCCCGTGCCCGTGACAGTGCACCTGCGGAGGGCAGCTGTCATGGCCATGGCGCGCGACCGCAGCTCTTCCCTTGCCCTTGCCCCGGCTGTGGAACGAGAGCATGATCGAGTCCACCATGAGCGTGACCAAGGCGGCGAGCATCGCGACAAACCCCGTGAATGGGAACTCCGCCCAGGGCCTCCGGGGCAGGCAGGGCGAGCTGAGGTCGTTGAAGGAGTCCGGCAGCACGTGCACGTAGCCGGTGCCGAGGATGACCCCCGACGCGAAGGCCTTGACGACGACGAAGGCGTTGCCTCCGGGGCGGAGAGCCGGCACAGAGCGGGAGAAGAGCGGCAGGCACACGCCGATAACGCTGGCGAGGAGGATCGACGCGATGGCGATCAGCTTCAGGCGCAGCGCGTTGGCGACGCTGTGGCATTTGCCCTCGACGGCCGGACCACCGCATGCGCCGCCATCGGCGGGCGGTGCTTGAGGCTCCGTTTGCGCGATGACGACGGCGGCAAACGGTGAGGAGGCGGACAGGAGACAGACGACGAGCAGCACTGTCGATGCTCTCGAAGACATCTCTCTCTTGGATTCGATTCGAGCTCTTGTGTGTGCCCGGCCGTTGAAAAAGATTGGGTGAAGAACCTGAATAACCTTTTCTCCTTCCTCCTAGTCTAATCTAATCTACCACGAATGAATCGGAGACTCAGTTGTGGTGAAGCCGTTCACCATGCGTGGTGAAGCCGGGCCCGCTCCAGCCTCTGCGTCGTATTTTTGGCGCTGACATGTGGGTTCACAACATCTTTTTTTTTTTTTTAGGGGAGTGGGTTCACAACATCTGCACCGCATGCCTCCGTCTGTGGATCTGGAATTTTGGATCCCCTCGCGGCCCGCGATTCTTCCTCTCCCACCGGTCGGACGGGTACCGCTGCCGACCATGTGTTAGAGCGTGCGACCCACGCGCTGAAGCGAGCGGCAGCCCATGCCGTCGACGGCCCACGCGCTGGAGCGAGCGGCAGCCCATGCGCTGGCGTGACGCGCCGGAAGCAGCGCATGCGGAGGCATGTCGATTGGCGCCTGTCCGGCTGCGCAGCCCCGGGCCGCCCGCACGCGAGCGCCGTGCCGAGGTGCATGCGACGACTCGTTCGCAGGTGCCCTGTGCCATCGACGAAGGCCCGCGGCCCAGCCTCACGGCGCCCATTGAGGAGCAGCAGGGCGACGCGAGGGGCACGACGGCAGGGACCTCGCCCGCATCGCATCAACGCCGCGCACATCCTCCCTGCACCGAGGCCCTCCTCCGGTGGTGCGGAGCCCGCCGCGGCCGCCGCCCAACCGCCGCTGGTTGATCTACAGATGCAGGCTGTCGTGCAGGGCGGCACAGGGAAGGTACGGCTGCACCTCGAACACCACATATCTTGGTTTTTGTTACAAGGATTTCCACCACCGATGCAGCATTAATCCAGCGATAATAGCATGCCCACTGCGTGTTTGTAAAAATGCCAAACCATTGAAACTTACAGAGCCACAGGTGCCTGGGTCAACGTTAGGATCCACCCCCAGGTGCTCACGCTCGGCATATCCGTCATAATTGTTTCCTTGTCTTTCTAAATAATAATAATTGTTTGCCTTAGCTAATAATGGGCCTGTTCGCTTGTCTGAATTCTAGAGGAATCTGGATGGTTTGGAGGAAAAAACGATCAGGAATTTGTGAGGTGAAAATTGTTTCCTTGAAAAAATAAGTGGATCAATTGGGTTTGCCTTAGCGGGGCAATGTAGTTAATGTAGTACGATAGGTGATACCAGTGATATATACATGTTTCTGTATTGTTTATGATCCAGTCTTTACGAAGCCATGCCTATATTCCATGAATATTAAGTTATCATCAGGATTATTTATGTATGTATAAAAACCTCGGTGTAGGAAATATTGTTGATGATTGGTTATACTTTAGAGGGAGACAGTGCAAGAGCCACATTACACGGGTGAGGTATTGGAGTAGAATTTTATCACCGAATTGGACATTTACCATGACTGATGTATATGGCCATCTTCTGGAAACCTAAAGTACTGACCGCTGCCCATGCTCTGCTGGTGGTTGAAGAGCAGAATGAAACTTGAAGTTTCAGATATGATTTATATAAGTCCAAATGTCCGATCCTTATACATGTGAAACTTACTATTTTATTTCAGATACGAACATGTAGATGGCACTGAACCTAGTTAAGATTTCAGTTTACTATAAACCTATAATCATATTATTGCTTATGAATTATGAAATATCTTATAGTTATGCTAATTCTTAGATGTGTGCCCAAAAATGTCATTTTGTGTTGATTACTGTTTGGTAGGGCATAATCAATTTTTTTTTATCTTTCAAACGTTGAGTTGCATGCTTCTTTGTCCATTTTCCTATTTTATCCTGTTTGGTTTTTAATAGCGGCTTTTAATCTGGACTAACATATTGTCACAACATGAACAGCAGCATGGCTCAATAAGGACTTGCTGCAAAGTTACAGCCTGGGGACAGAAACATGCTTTCATAGGCTTTGACCATGGAACAATTTTGTTCTTGGAGGTATAAGCATATTAACTCATTTACTTGAAAAGAACGGTAAAGTGTATATTTAAAGCATGGAAGCATGGTATGTTAGATATTGTTGTTTATGAGAACTATCGCATCACAAATAATCAGGTCACTGAATATGTACCAACTGCTGAGTGGTAGTGTACCACATACAGTAAGCTTTTTTTTTTTCATTTCCATTACTTGTTGGAAGTTGCAACTGTCAACTCTAAATGAAATTTTCAGCTTCATTTGTTTTAGTAAGACTGGTTGGTCACTAGAGCCATGTCGAAATTTTGAGTGAACTAGATTTCTTAGTTGCTAGTTTCATTTGTGAGCTTTTTGCATATGAACAAAACAATGTTTGGGACTGTGAGCTCTCATTTTTCTGGGAAATTTGATTCTATGCTTTGAGCTTCAAAATGATTTGATGAAATGAACAGTCATATATATGTTTTGAGTAGATCCTAAACATAGTATATACATGAGGGAGCCCCATGTCTGTATGGATGCATGCATTCTACTTTGCTACTGTATAAATGTGTTTTGTTGGATGCAGTACTGAGATTTGTTATGAGAAAACATGCACACGATAAGCCTGGCTGATTTGTTATGAGAGAAAAATATTTTTCGTTGGCTGAAAAAATACGGCTTATAAGTCAAACGAACTTGGCGAGGATCAGCACAAAATTTTCGTCTAATAACTAATCCTAACTGATGAAACCTCAAACATACCCTGACATAATTGATTTGAACACTCCATTTCTGGAATTTGCCTCGCCTCGCCCAGAAATCTCACCAGGGCCGGCAAGGTTGCTCGCGCTGGCAGCTCTGGCCATCCCCGAGCTCCCCTCCTCCCGTGACAGCAATATCAACGGCTTCCTCCCAGCCACAAAACACCTCGCCGCCCTGAAATCCACGCCCGATCGAGCTCGTGAACTCCGGTTCCTGCTCATCACCTCCAGAATCTAACTCCTCACTTCCTCGTCACTTCCTGATTCGACCTCTTCGCCCTCGGATCGAGCTTTCCCTCCACCGAATCGAGCTCCCCCACCATCCAAATCGAGCCCATTGCCGCCGGATCGAGGTCTCTGCGGGACGAGCTCGAGCTTTGGCGAAGGAAGAGGAAAAAGGGGAGCAAGCAACCAAACGGGTGGACGGAAACACGCCAAACAGCCTCCTCGATCGGTCCGGGCTCGGGCCGCCACCATTCGGTGTCCCCTCCTTGACAGGTGCCCGAGCCGCGCCGAGCTCCAGCCTCACTTCCACGGTCCACGCCGCCCACTCTTCCCTCTCCCGATCGTCGGCCTCCTCCTTGTCCGCCCCCTCCTTCCTTCTTCCCACTCCACTGGCTTCGGATTGGAGTGCCCGACGTGAAGCGGAGACCTATCCGAACAGGGGATCGATTCTTCTAGTGGTAAGCCCTAGCACCTTGCTTGGTTGGATTTTTCAACGATGGGGCGCGGGTTGTCAGAGCAGTTAATCCAAATTCTTCTCTATCTGCATGAGTTGGTACCGGATTTACTTCATGATGGAGTATCGAGTAAAACATAGTTCTAGCTCGGTTCCAATCCAAAACAAATGGGGTCCCACATGACGCCTAGCACTTTGGATCCGAGATATTATTGCACTTTTTATTCCAAAAAGAAATTGCGGGTTCGATTGAACCCCATGCTCCATGGTCCACGCTAAGCCTTGCCCTGGATCTGAGCGATGGATGATTGCCCTTGGCCTGTGCTAGGTTTGATATGCAGTTTCGATGTGGCTTATGTGAAACAGTTTTGGATTAAAATTCGAAAGCAAACCATCATGCATTATTTCTGTTTGATATTTCCATTGTGATTGTGGTCTGTGTACACAGCGCACTCTATCTTAAGATAGTTTCTCTGCCTGAATTTTAATCACTGGTACACAAATTGTGCCATTATGGTGTTGGGGTTTTCCTGCTGCCTCAGTTGTTATGCAGGTAAAATATTTTAAGTCCTTTGCTCTGAAGCAATATCTGGTAGTTTCGAGGAAAGGTAGTGTTGCAATGCCTGTATAGGTATCAAGTGTCAGTGTACAATGTCCACCATTTTCCCTTTTGTTTCTGCATCACCGATTCACACATGAATTCGATCTAAAATCTAGAACATGGATTAATATTGTTTAGTGATACTGGTATGCTTGGCAGGATCAGTCATGCTGGCACTTATGTGAGTACAGTGTGTGGTCTTACTTAGACTAACCATTTAGATGCCTGAATCACATTTCCATTTTTTTCTCAAACATGCAGTAGATCTGCGTATCTTTGTATTAAAGAGAGAGAAATAACATTCCCATACAACACAACCCTCTCATCTCACTAGAGGATAAGAAAAGGTTGCCTTAAAGACTAGAAAAACAACAAACACCTTTGGAACAAAAAGAACAAGGAAAGACCCTAGCCCGGACTAATCAGGTTGCTCCTAGCCAAATAGGTATGATGAATGAGTCAAATTAGTTAGATACCCATCATCTTCTGCTTTGATATCTTATTGAGTTTGTTACACCAGCAACCTACAAAAGCTAGAGCAACTTGAAAGAAACTGATTTTCCTTCGTGTTTTAAGCAATAATAGGAACTTTAAGAGTGGTGTAATGGGGAGCTTGAAGGGGGAAAAATCACTGTAAAGCGGCTTGTCGCTTTATGAAATGTGCTCGTGTGTTATTTTGTTAACTATTTTTGTTATATTTCCCTCTTTTTTGGGAGTTATGTTATTCTACTTTTCCCCTAGTTACACTGGAATATTCTATGTTTTGTGCTGATATTCCTCTTGTTTTTTTGTTGCATTTTAGGTGTTACAGCATGGTGTTTTTGAGTTTTGACATAGCAATGGAATTTCTCATGTATCAAGTATAAATGAGCAAAGCTTGGAGATAGTTGGACCTGCCAGTTGCCACCTTTTCATGTTTTAACTCATTTTTTTTTTCTGATAAACAAATAATTCTGAAGTTACCTTGGAATGCCTCTGCACCTTTGACTCGTCGTGTTGCA